ATCCAAATTCAGAGTAAGGAATTTCAAAAAGTTGGCAAGTGATCTCTGAGAGACAGGCTTTTTTTTTTACATATTCCAAGTTGAACAGTCAGAATCAATAGATATTTCTGAAAATATGGGTTGCTGTGTGTTTTTTCCTCGTTAGTAGAAATATTTAATATTTTCTGGTAGCTTAAACTTAGTACTTACCTTTTGGTGGTTATCTGCCTTTATAAATATATGCATTATGCAAATAAATGTTTTTGAAACAAGTCAGATCCCATAAGAAAATTCCAATATAGAACATGTTGCCAAGAAAAAGGTGAGTGATGTGCTGGAGGCAAGAGGGTGAGTTTTCCTGGAGCGTTCCGTTCAGCAGTTCCCTTAATTAATTTAGCAGACAGGATCCCATTAAACGTCAAAATTAGAATGGACTTTACTGAAGTACGTATGAAATTGACCGTACCTCAACTATTAATTATATTGTTTAAATACAAAATTGTTTTGCATTTATTTCATATTAAAAGTAATAGTTTTTCCCCACATGAATAGAGTGTATTTCCAAATATTGCCCAGGAAAGAGAGATGCATGCATTCTCTCAGTAGGTGTAGAGCTGACAGAGCTTTGGGAAAATGAGTGGAATTTTTAATAGTGTTCCTATTACAGAATTTTGATTACTGTTCTTGATGCATAAACAAATTTCATAAATTTCTAATCCCCTTGAGTTGATGAGACTGAAAGAGAGAATGTCAGGGAGCATTATGTTACTTGTTGCATGTAGTTAATTTTCAGAGCTGGGCCGCTCTTTATGGACCTTTTGTCAATAACTACTCCTAAGTTAGACTCATCAGAAATTAAACCAAGTTAAACAGAAAAGACTTTGATTTTTGTGTGGATTCATAGTAAGGTAACATGAAGCGTGAGTACCTATCGAATAATTTAGGCCTTTTTTATTTTGACAGAAGTCTCAGTGCAACAGGCTTCTTGATGTGAAGGTTACTGTATCAGTTTACAGATGCATGTATGATTGCAGGTACACTTTGGCATGTCGTTAATACTAGCACCAGAATGAAGTGTTCTTTGGACTTTTCCTCAAGAAAAAAATATTCAGTTCATTCATCATCCTCCTGTAAAATACAAGATGGTACTGATAATCATATATTTAGGGGCAAAGTCATTTCATCTGCGTTTTATGCTCACAGTTTATTCCCAGCTACTGCTTTTTGCAGTCTATTTGAAGAATAAGGCTGAAACCCCTGAGCTGACTGCAGTCTTTCAAAATGCACATAATTTACTGCAGAGGACAGTCAACGCTGTCAAGTGCTTTAGAGAGCCAAATACTTACATACAAAGATGATGCCTCTTATGTCTTTCACAATTAGCTTTGAAACATAGTTATTCAAGAACGGGAATTCCCCTTTTCTCTTTGTTTGAATTCAACTAGTATCAGTGGATGATGCTAAAAGGCTGCACGAGGTCTTCAAACAGTATAACCTACTGGAGAGAGGTGCACATTGTGCAGTGTAGTTTGCCCCTACTCTACTTAATGTAGAGTTATTTTGACTGAGTGACTCTTCACTGTAATAGTTATGGGGGAATAAACACTGCAGTGATCTCAGGTGTAGTGGCTTTCACTTGCAAACCGGAAATGAACCAACATTTGCATGCTTAGCCCTTGAGAGCAAGGTGGTATGAGTACATGGAAACAGGGCTATTCCATCCTATCATCTGCAGCTCTCACTACCGTAGTCCAATCCTTTTATCCTTTTTGTTCAGACCAGTTGTCACAGCTCTTTTTTACGCTCTTCTGGAATACCTATTTGTTATGAATATTGCTGATTTTCCTACCTGAAACAGGCTTCTTCCCGGCTGAACTTATCAGCCTTTCGGCCTTGTTTGCAAAATGCATTTCTTACCATGGCCAGCACTGAGAATGCTATTCCCAGCCTCAGCTTGTTTCCTACTGAGACAGGTTCTCCTTGTCTCTGAAAGTACTATCAGTCAGTGCCAAATGGATTTTAAAGCCCTCAGTTGACTGGATTTTTTACTGAAGGGAATTACAAAACTCAGAAGGGAGCCGGTAGTTTCATTACTATAACCAGTACCCTGACACTCCATCTCACTGAGACTTCACTGTATAACTGAGGCAGACTGTAGTCCTTGTTCAGCACTTGGGCAGGAGCAGTGACCATCAGGGCAAACAAAAGTGTTTCCTGCAGTAATTTTTCTGCCGATGAATTTTATTTGGTGTAATGTCTATACATAGCTCGAGAAGAATATAATTTTAATGGACATTGAAAATACCTGAAGTTCATCATTTTTACAAGCTTCAAAGGTGTATTAACATGAAGTGTTTTCAAGTCTGTCTCATATACATACTCATTTGACAGAGGACTTTTTTGAACAATGAAAAATATCTTTTGTAATAAATATTAAAAAATCAATATTTCTAACATGTCCAGTTTTCTCCAAAAACTAATGAAGCATGAAAATGTTTTCTATAAGATATGAAGAAGTAGCATCAGATAGGATAATGGTAATGGTCTGTGAAGTTTCTGATATCTCATCTAGAGGACCTGCCCTTTCCTAGTTCCTTTTCATAGGGTTTACGTCTTGTAATGTCTTGATTCCATGAGCTGCATGGGAACAAATTCCTATGAAATGTTCTGTTGCTGCTAGTGTGATGGAACTCCCGGAGTATTTGCAAGACAGGAAATGCAGAAAATCATATAAAGCAGCATGGGTAAAGGAACCTAATAACAAAATTGTTCAGATCTTGAAAAGGGTGGAATACTGAAAGGAGTTCTTATGCCATTGTGATAAAGACAACTTTAACTTTCATCTCATTTTTATTCTTCATATTTGAAACGCACAGAGCAGGTGATACGCTGAGGTTTCTGAAGATCAAAATTTGACCCTTTCTCTGTAAGAATTGCTTTAGCTATAAAACACAGTCCCACAAGTGATGTCCCAGACAAGATACAGAGGTTAGAAGGTGATTCCATACAGGGCAGTTCTGTCTGCGGAACAAGTAAGCTGGCCCTCTGCTTGCTTTTTTAAATGTTGGTCTCTGTAGGAAATTTTTTAAAAGTAGTGTAGGCAGTAGCAAATGCAGAACTTCATCTGTAATAATTTTCTTCAGCAAAGAATACACTGAAACCACACTCTCCTTTGTATGTCGTTCGGTGTTTCAGCACTTAAAGTATACCCTAGGTATTGTAAGTGTTTGGAAATAGAAGTTTTATTGTTAAATATGTTTTTCCGCATTGCAACAGGTAACTCAGCCTTCTCATTAACTTCTCATCGAACGCTGTGCAACACATTTGAAATGAGGGGTTTTTTTTCCCACCAGTAGTTTCTGAAAAAGTTCCTAGGGAGTGGAGTGAGGGAGGTGGCTGGACGGAACGGAGCTGAGAAGAGCCAGACTTCTTCCACATCCCTGCCCTAGCCACCTCTCTTTTGGAAGGGGAATAAGTAGGAACTGTGGGAACTGCTGCAAGTGGAGCAGAGATGCATCTCCCACAGTTTGAGAGCTGTGATCCTAAATGCTCAACCTCTATTTGCAAATGGATGTGAAGTGTAGAATTAAGCATCATTTTGTTGCTTTTTTTTCTAGATACCACCTCTACTTTTCAAGTGATTAATGCTCAGAGTTCCCCAATGAGCCATTCATTTAAAAAGAAACTTTATATCCATTTAGTACACAGACAGGAGTAATTTTTTACTTTATTAGGGCTACTTATGAGCCTTAACAGGAGTAAAAATCTTATTTATCAACTTTCCTAGAATATTACAGAAATTAAGCCTTGATTCAGCATGCATCTTGCTACATGCAGCTCTGCTTGTGTAGAGAACTTCTGGACTCTAGTGAGATGAGGCAGCTGTGCACGTGTTTGTTTGCCAGGATCACTCTTTACTTAAGTCTCTAGAAATAAAAAGTGTTTTGTATCACTGAAAGTGGGTAAAATAAACATCAATAAAGAGGATATATGAGATGAAGCTGCCCTGGACCAAACCCTAATGGTCACAATGCCATGTTGCACAATTTTTATGTAACTGTTGGCTCTACTGTTTACTAAAAATTATCCTCAAAGCCTTCCATTTAATTTTATAAGCTGTGTATATGTATAATATGTAACACTTTATTCATGTGCTGAAGATCTGCAGCAAAATTATTTGCTGTCAGCATAAGCATCTCTTAATAATTTAAGCCCTTAATCTTTTATGGTATTTTCTCTTGCGTGTGTACTATCTATCTCCTCTCCTTCTGTATGACTGGCTGACTTTGCAGTTGTCTGGGAACTTCTATTCAGGCAACCTGATTTCAACACAAAAACATTGTTTCTTCATAGAAGTCTTTATGTCTTTAGTAGCTAGAATGTAATCTCTTACTATTTTAGCCTGATGGAAAGAGTCACAGTAGATCTGTAATTTTTAAGAGAGATTATGTGGTTCTTCTGTTCTCCTGCCTGAGTTTTTGAAAATTAGGGTGGGGATAAGGGAGCATTATTGCAATAAAAGATTTTACGTCATTAAGGTTTACCAATTTAATCAGGCATATCCACAGTCTAGTTTATCCAGGCTATCAGATCTCCTGTCCATAATCTGTTATTTTTCACTAAGCAAAGTGGGAGCTTGGAGGACTGAGGAGTTTCAGATCTGTATGTATCTTTGACAGTCTGGAAGAAAAGGACATGTGTACCAGCACTGCCAGCTGAACATCAGTGAGGTTTTTTCTCCCTTAGCTTTCAGCTCGTATTTCTCCTCCTGTGGTGTCCTATGTAGACTAAGGCTTTCTGGTAGGGTACTTCAGCTATTAAAGAAATAATTTTGAAATAATTTGAAAAGGACGTGGTCAGGATCTTCGAACCATTAAGTATGGAAGAACGCTTCAAAGGTATTTGACGTTTTGTGTGCTACTTATATTGATTTCATTGATCGCTGTCCTTGTGAATCTGATGTTGTTATTATAATCTGGATTATTTACTAATTTGATTTTTTTATTTATTTTTATATACAGGCTTAAGATTTTTAAGAGCCCTTAGACTGATACAGTTTTCAGAAATTTTGCAGTTTCTGAATATCCTTAAAACAAGGTAAGAGTTTTACGTGCCCTTTCTTTATGTTCTGAGTAGTAGCGCTGGTGACAGAATGTAAATTGCTTAGGTCTCTGGTCCTACTAATATATGATTTTCTATTCTCAAAAAAACTATTTGCTCTTTTCTTTAAAGCTTTTTCTGCTAATGAAAGATTTATCAATTTAAGCATCCCTTTTCATATGATGAGTAGATATTTTATTTGATAAATTTTTACACCTGAAATATCTGAGTGAGACTGAGTGCTGTATGAATTACAGAGCTCTGCATTGATTAAATATTCCTTCTTTCTGCATTATCAGTCAATACTCTGTTGCCTTGGAAAAAACCAGAAATTACAATTCATTCAGCATAAAAGTATTTTGAGACATAATCATAGTGGCTCTGTCTCAGTCTATTTGAACAGAACATCATTCTTCACACATGAAAAACATATTAAAAAGTAATTTTACACTCAGCTACCTTTGTATTGTGTTCATTGTCATTGCATTCCTTTAAAATAACATTTAAAATATTCCACATAACTTTCTTGCTTTCACTGAGTCTATGTGGTATTTGTGGAGAAGAAGCAGTAGGTGCTACAGTACATTCATCACTTTGAACTAAAAAAAAAAAACAAAACTTTACAATGCCTCGCAGTTGCAGAGGTTTTGTCTTTTATCACTCCCTAAAATACCTCTACTGGAAGTACCCAACTTCCAATATTTATTTCTCAGTTACTGTGAGCTCAGTTCCATTCTAAAATCCTTTACTCTCTCTCTCCCCCATCATTCTCAAGTTGAAGATGTATGTGTGAGGGTTTTATATGCCAGTAACTCCAGTGACTTGCTACATTAATTAGGAGTGATGAACAAATAGATCCTTGAGATGTGTACAGACTTGTGGTATACAGCTATTTCCTTCAGCCCTCAGCCTTAAAACTATTCTGCTTGCTATAAAACTCTCACATCACCTGCCTTTAGCTTTGTGACTGAAAGAAATGCAGTTCTTGTCAAGTAAAGAAGTTACTATATGTACATGTAAGAAAAATACAACCCAGAAACTTGGAATACTATCAGTTCAATAAGGAAGGAGAATAATTTTAAAGGTGCTCAAGAGTATCTGATAAATTTGCATTACAACACAAAAAACAACCTCACTACAAATCATGGTAGTCAGTGGAAGAATTCCACAAACTCAGAGGATTTTGGATCAATGTTTTTTTTTTTTAAAAAAAAAAAAAAACCTTGAAGTATGATGGATTTATAAACTTCCAGTTCTGTAAATGAAGGGATACTGCATTAACCACATTCGTATTATTCAAAGCTGGCTTATTCAAGATTGACCTGTTTCTTCAAATTAACATTTCTGGTGCTAAAATTTATTCTCAGATATCATCATCTCTGTAATTATTCATGTCAATGTTCAAGCATCTATAAATCCCAAATTCTGATTATTGGAAAGCTTGTAAAGCAGAGCTTGCTTACATGACTGTCTGTCAGTTTTACTCAGCTGATTAACCCCTAGCAGTTTGTCACTACACTATTTGTTTAATTTAAAAACCATCAGTAACTGAAAATGATTTTGCATGTCCCTCCTTGTTCTTAGTCCTGGACTATGCCAGAGAGCAGATGCCTCTGCCTATCTTAACTTAGTACACTTGAAATAAGTAATTTGGAGTACTGTTGATGTCCACAAACTCTCATTTTGTAAAATTAATGAGTCAAACTACAACATAATGTTGACCTGAGAACAACCGTGTTTTTTATTTATTGTCTTACGTGAATTTAACTTCCAAAAAGTGATATGACTAACTATGGTGAGAAATATTCATACTTTCAGCATCTTGACTATTATCACCAACAAGACCTATTTAGCATGGATGTTCCATGTGGTGGGTACGTGTTTGGTGTTACAGTAGCAAAGTAATATTTTATTGGGAGTTTCTACTTCTGTATTATTAATCTTTTTGAGAAAAACATAAATGCAAGGTGCTGAGCACTTGTGGTTAAAGGACTATCTTTTAGCAGTTCTGCAAGAATTAGAACAGTTAAGTTAGTGCCCTCAATACATTTCTATTTGAATAAATAAAATCCACTTCCCTGAATTCTGTCAGTGATATCAATTACATTCAGTGGTATTCACCACTCTCTAGTTTAAAAAATTATTTTGTATTATATGTTTTTAACCAGCTACTTTGAGGTAATACAGGTGTGTTTGCTTGGGGATGGTTAAAAAATTTCTAATGTTAAGATATTTTAGCATTTCTTGCAATCCACTTTTAAGAAGTTTTTAATATTGTTGTTAATTTGTGTATGTGAAAACAAAGGACTAATGAAAGAACCTGAATTGTTGAACTGAAATAGCAATATTCAGTATATCATTACTAGCTCTGAAATGATAGTATAGAAATAATTAACACTTTGTTTTATTTAAAAATTATGCAAAGAAATAAAGTCCTCTGTTTAAAGTGATATGTGTTCATATGAAAAACAATTATGGAACCAAATCCACTACAGGCATTTCAATGTACTTTGCAGTAATTCTCAGTATCTACTGAAAAGATGAGGAACTGATAGGATATGAAGAGCACTGACGTGTCTTTAATATTTGGTACCATCATAGAAGAAGAAATTCTGTCCTCCTTTTCCTCCCGCCCAGTGAGGGAAAGGATTTACTCTAACCTCTAAATTAAAATTACTGCTGGAAGTAGTGACTGAGATAGAAGGATTAAAGGAAGAAATCCCATTCACAGAGGGGACAGAAAGGCCATTGAAGATGGTAGAATCTAAAGAAGCTAAACACTTCACAAATAGAAACAATGAGAAGACTAGTCAAGTAGAGTGAGGCTGTTAAATAATTATTCAAATGTCTGCAAAAATATTAATTGTATTGGAAAAGAACCTTTAAGGCAAAGCGAAAATTTACAGTAGCCTGTTAAAAACTTATACTCTACCAAAAATCTATTTATTTCCCAAGTTTGATGTTAAATACGTCTTATTCAGATTATTTTTTTCCTGTATTTTAGGAAGTAGAATAGGTTGTGCATTGTTCAGTTGAAATTTCTCTCCTTCCCTTTGCTGTTTTCTAATACATTTCAACAAAACTACAGGAGCTTAGGCAGGGCTCACAGTAAGGGATTTTACACAGATGTTGGAAAGAGCTTAAAGAGCAGGAAAATGTTTGAGAGTAATCCTTCATCTATATTTAGACTCTGGCAGAATTACAAGAGTGTTTCATAGAGGGCAGATAATATACAATTTTTAATAAAGCTCCAAAAATAATATGTACAAAATAAGTCATGTAAATAGTCAAGTGTTAATGACTGCTGTCATTTACTTCTATTACAAGGAATAGGTGACTAGATGATACCTTATTGCATCAGGTGTTTCCTGTCCTAAGTGAAGGATAATATTTAGCCTTTCATAATGGAGCTTTGCATCAGCATGAATGCTACCATTTTGTTTAATCTAAGAACTTATGGGCTATGTCTGAGTGCCATCACCGACAAAATATGAACATTAATCAACCGTACCTTTAGAAGGAGAGAAATAGGGAATATGTCTTAATGTACATCAACATTAATTAATTGCAAAACTACAGGTTTAACATCTTAATTTTGAGTACAGTAATTTTTAAACAACTATCATACACTACCCTTTCCTAGTCCCCACAGATGCCCATTTCATTAACTGTGACTCTTAAAAAATAAATAAATAAATAAATAAAAATTAATGGAACTGATGTCCAAGATCAGTTTTCAACTGTTAGAAATATATGCACCTTTATTGCTGTCAAAGTAATCATGAACAGAAATATTGATTCATTATATTTCTGTAAAACTACAACTACTGACAGTGAATTTTTTTTTCCAATTTTTATTCAACTTTCAGTTATTCAGTAAACAAATTGCTTAGTATGTCCATGTAGAGTCATAAGATATCTTGTTTAAATGTTTTGAAATATACAGTATGAAAAAAAACAATGCTGTCTAATTAAGCATGTAGGTTAATTCTTTGTGTCTCACTAGAATAAATGGGCCTATAGCTGTTTCTGAAGTTCATACCTGAGTACATGTTTTACTGGATTAGATTTCTAGTCTTCAGATCTTGTCATAATTGAATTGTTTGCATTGTGAGTAAATGCAGAGCTTTGTATGGGAACAATGAAAAGAATGAACTTGAGTATTAATACTCTTTATGTTGCCTTAGAGCTTAGACCCACTAAACTTAATTGAAGAAAGCAAGTGGAACAGCTTAAATTTATATATATCTGTTTTTCTACACACAATCACATATACACACCCACACACACCCACACACACACACACATCTATATCTATCATACATGTATCTTCTGTGTTCTTCACTACAGATAGCTAATTTATGGACGAATACACTTAGAATTGCTGTGCTCAGTTGTGCGGGTCTTGCAAGATACTTTATGCAGAGCACCTCTGGGTATACCTACACAGCAAAGTGTGGGGGTATGGTAGCACAGATGGGCATGGTTATGTTAATTCTAATTCTAAGCTTGGAATTGACCTACTTTGGAGGGCAATAGCAATGAAGGGATAGTGGCATGGTGTGCAGCACAGGATAGCATCAGGCTTCTGGAGACCCTATATTTTTTCCTCAGTGAAAGTGACATACCTACACTAGTACTGTTATTCATGTTACATCAGTGAAAGCTAATATGAGTATACTGATCTGATTACGATTTCGTCTTTGTTTGCTGCGTAGCTATATCCATTGATCCTTAGGCTCTGCCAGAGTGTGGATCTTCTTGCACGATTCAAGCTTTGATTTCACCCACAAGGATTTCAGTACCTTGGCTGCTGAAGCTGTGATATGATATTTCTTGAGGAAATTATTTTGCTTGATCTAATTTGCATGAAAATTGTATTTCGATCTTCTCTTTTGGAGCATATTGCTTTAGGAATAATTGTTTTTTCTGAGGCATCATGCTTTCTTAGAGATGTCCTCTTTAAAGAAAACCAAATCTATTTTCACTATAGTTTCAGGAATGGGTAAGATCATTCAGACATCACTAATACATAGACTTCAGTTCCTTGCAATTTGTTGAAAATCCTTATTAGCTTTTCCGATTTTACTGATTTTTGTGAGGACGCACTGAATAAGCTTTACTTAAATACCTCTTCTGGAAGTTCTTAAGTGTGATATTTTCCCGCTGAATTCTGAGTGAAGTCCTTGCCTCAAAATAACTTCTGACTAAAATTTGGCACATGGTACTCAGTGGAACTAAAAAGAACTTTCAGGGTTTGGCAGGTAGGTGTCAATTTGTTTTTCTTAAAAAAGTCTGAATGTGAAGTTTAAAATACGCTAGCCCCACATGAATTTCTGCAACGAAGTCTATAGGAGTTGATGCAAGCAGAATAATATGAAAATGATATAAAGCCTTATCCAGGAAATGTGTAGTACTTAAATTATTTAATTTCAGAATCTTTTTTTTGCATAAAATCAACGTATTTACAGACTGGGTGCAGTAATTCTTCTTTTACTGTAACTGTAGGAAAAAGCCCTAGCCCTATAGTCATGTATGCAAGTGTTAATGTATGGTAAGTACTCAGTAAAAACTTCCACTTGCCCTTAATATGCAAATCCTCTACAGGTCCGGGGTTAAAAGCACAGTGAATATGTAAGAAGCATAAAACCTAATGAGAAGTAAAATAGTTCAAAAATATCAGCCAAATATATGTATAAATACAGAATTCTGTGGCTGGTGTTAATTGACCTAGCTTTGTTTACTTCACTAGGCCTGCACTGATGTATTTCAGGGTACCAGAATGTTTACGTGTAATAAATTGCTTGGTATATAGCAAGGAAAAATGAGATGAAGTTGAGGGTGCAGAGAGGGAATCAAATTATTTATGAAAAAAAATAAAGAGTAACTATATTTCTATTATTTATTTCTACTTATTTGACTATGAGTCAAAGTTTAGATTACTCAAAAATTATGAGTAGTTTAGGTTTCCGTTTGTCATCTATCTTTCTGCTCTCAAATGCATGGGAACTTTTCTAGATTGCTGCTCTTTAACTCCATTTGGTGGCTCTTTCAAGGTTTCTAAATTATGCGAATACTAATTCTGTAAAGACAAAATAGTACGTATTTTGCATTGACCTTAGATTATGCTTTCTTATGGATTCAGCTCCTATTCAGAAATCATCATCATGCTCTTTCAGTTGTATAGAGATACATACTAAAAGTAATGATCAATGATGATGTAAAACATCAGTGGTGTAATACGTCAGTGATGTCTTGGCAAAATCTCATATGTATTCCTTTTTTTTTTCTTCCAGTAATTCCATCAAGTTAGTGAATCTGTGCTCTATATTTATCAGCACATGGCTGACAGCAGCTGGGTTCATACATTTGGTAAGTATATCTGAAAATATTTCATTGATTTTTTTTTTTTTCATGGATCATCTGTTCTCTGAGCTACTTTATTACCTGTAATTACCTTGCTTCAGATAATCCCTTAACACATCTACAGAGTACAATAAAAAAGACATCACAGCTGCCTGACTTTTCAGTCTTCTACTCAAAATTAATTCTGAATACTAAGTAATGTTCACATCATTAACCTCTATATTTACGCTTAGCAATAGTTAAGTATGTCTGAGGCTTCGGCTGATGTAGCTTCTTCAATGACTACAATTTACCAGTAGGTGGCAATGTTTCCTTATAATGGTCAGGAGCCCTTCTTGGAAGGGGTTCACAGAGCGTGAAATGATAATGATGTCCTGAGAAATCAATAGTTTTGACAGAAGAAGCGTTTCGGGATTTCCACAAGAAGTAAAATGATCAGCAATATTCCGGATAGCATTCTTTAGAGATTATTTTCTTATTTCTTGTTTTTAAATTTCAAACTCTTGATGTGTCTTTCAGTTGCTGATAAAATACAGTTTTGTCTTGCACGTCATACACAAACACAAAATCTGTATTTGAAACTCCTGACAAACTTGAGATATTTAGTTAAGAGGTATATATGATTTTGTAGATATAAGTACATGTATGATATGTATATTTCAGACATTTTAAACTAATGACTTTTACTGATATATTTGGTAAATATAATTAAATATGGTTAAACATAAAAATAATGAGTACTGTTAAGTGTTCATTCTTTAAGTACTTTTATGATCAACTTAGATTCAGGAAAATACCAGGTTGTTAGTAGTAACAACCTATTCAGCAATGGCTTTGGAGTAATATTCTAATTTCAGTGATCTTGATGTTAATCCAGAGTAATGTAATTAACTTCACTTGAATTACCTTTAGCTGCATTCAACTACATAAGATTAAATTCAGAAGATTTATCTTTTGGTTATGCCAAATAGTCATTTGATTTCTAGTCTCATAAAGATCTACTGAGAGTTTGGATGTATTATTTTATGATACAGATCTCTTTCACCAGTGACCACATTTTTTACACTCCTTTGGGTCATTATGACGTTTTTATTATAGGAACAATCACTTTTTCTAGATTTGAACCTTTAAAAAGTTTTTTTTTTTTTTTAATTACCTCGGAGGGTGCTATTTTCTAGAATATTTGTGTTTTGGTGTAAGATTTTCTATTCTGCTGCAGGGCTTCTGAAACTTCAGATTTTTTATTGTGGAAAAAACCTTAAGAGAAATTTTAGAGGTTGTGCTCCTTTCCCACAGATAAATTTATAACTTATCATTGTCACACACAGTAGCCAACTTCCTGGAAAAGTAATAGTATGTTTTTCATGATGCACAAGTGCTCTTAACATGTCACCAATCTCATTAATAACCACATAATATTTTAAAAGGAAAACATGAACTAGTAAAATTGCATTGAAAGTAAGATTCATTCTGAAACTGTGCAGAACAAGTTGGAATAAGATGAACCTATCTGGCTTCTTTTGTGAGTTACGTTTCTAGTAGTGAATGAAGAAGTTATTTTCCATTAAAAAAAAAAAAAATACAAGCTATAAGATCTGTAAGACTATAGTTAGGACAGAATTAGGTCCTGTATTTGTTCAGATTAAAACATGGGAAAGGATATAGAGTATGCCAAATAGATAAAAACAAAAAACATCAATAGACCTTATTTATGGTACTACTCTATCAATTCATTCTGTGTTTTCTTATACATTGTAGGTGGAGAACTCAGGGGACCCATGGGAAAATTTCCAAAATAACCAACCACTTACATACTGGGAATGTGTTTATTTGCTGATGGTTACTATGTCCACTGTTGGTTATGGAGATGTTTATGCAAAAACAACTCTTGGTCGCCTTTTCATGGTCTTCTTCATCCTTGGGGGATTGGTAAAAACTCTTTATCATCATCGTATACCTTTTTACCTTACTGCTTGACCCTATATATCTCAATGCTATAATGAAATCAATAATAATATCTGGCTTAATAAATTAAAATTAATTATAAAACTTTGAGATATTTTTAGTACACTCTGCCTTTTATATTGATAAATATTTTGCTGGAGCTTGTCAAATTTGTCATTTAGCACAGTTAGATTTTTTCTAATCCATTTAAGTAGTGCATATGAATACATGAAATGTCTTAGCATTTTCACTTAGATTGTTAGTCCTCGCCTTTACTTTTCAGTGACAGTGATTGTAGTGCATTTTTGAGGATGTTATTGATTTTTCAAGGCAGTTTGCGGTTTCAAGAGTCTTACCCACCCGTCTGTGTTCCTTCCCAGAATTCCAACAAACACTGTGGCTTTGGACTGCCTTAAAGAGCAGCTTGCCTAATCCAGATGATGGCAAACCACATTATCTTTAATTTTAAATGTCTTTTCATATCATGTAACACCATTTTAACTCATAATTAATCACATGAAGCATGACCATAACCAGTATCCTTGTTTGTCAGCACATTCTGGTGTTCTTTGCCTTCTGTGTACACAACACTGAACTTATCAATTGTTTTAAGTCCAGTTTCCTGTTATTTATCTGTGCTAGTAATATTATAGCACCTGTTGCCGTGTTATTTTTTTAAAACAGCAGTTTATTTTAATATTTACACACCTGCAAGGTACGAGCTTTACAAACCAGTCACAATATATGTTATGTATATACATACATGTATATACTGTTATACCACCCATATATAATTTTCACAAATACATATACCTTATAGAGGTAATATGTATATAATAAATACATTTAGAATGCTCTAAGTGTGACATGCACAGATACATATATATGAGTATATAAATGATTGTGAATACGTATTCATTCCCATTTCTAAGATACAGTTGTTTACATATGAATGCAGAGACCATGTCAACTGGCAGTAGCTCTTCAGAGTATCCAGCCACAAGGAAGATGTTTGTTGGACAAAACATGGCAGAATAATTTTTATTTTCTCCTTATAACCCTTTCTCTATCATGTGTTCTTCCAAGCCTTTTAAAAACAAAAACTTTTGAAAAAGTTTTTTTTGGGGGGTGGGGGGGGTGGGTTGGAAAGGGTAACACCTTTTTGTTTCTTGATGGGAGGGGAATAACCCCTGATTCCATCTTGGTTTTGTCTTCTTTTGAATCCTAACATGGGGGGAAAAGTCTATCTTTTAAAATAGAAATGTAACAGTAGTGATAATACTTGTTTTCATTTTTTGTGGTGGAGTTGGATAGGTTTTTTTTTTCCTCCTCTCTGCAGGAAGAATTAGACACAAATTTATTTTATGATTCGGTACCAGTTTGAATTAATTTTGTTCTTGTTGTTTTGTGTGCCTCTTTCTCCTATTTTGACCATTTCCTTATTTTATCAGGTGTGCATCTTTTCCAAGACCAACCTTTGCGTTGAAACCTCTTGTTTTGTTTTATAAGAACTTACTTCTACTTTTTTTTTAAATTTTTTAAAATACCTTCATATATCTTAATTCTTTTGCATTTTCAGATCTTAAAGATATATATCTTCTGAAAATATTCATCATCCCCCTTTCTTTGGCCTGTCTTTTTAGTCTTTTCTGTCTCCTATCTTCTTCTTAGGCCATGTTTGCCAGCTACGTCCCTGAAATCATAGAGTTAATAGGAAACCGCAAGAAATATGGTGGTTCCTATAGTGCGGTTAGTGGAAGAAAGTAAGTATCCCAAGAGGCTCTGCTGCCTCTGCTGCAGTAGAACACTCTCTGCATGCCATTTTCTTTTTTTTTTTTGTGTTTTTGTTTCATGCATGTAGGCAATGTTTGCTCGCTACGTGCCAGAAATTGCTGCTCTCATCCTTAATCGGAAGAAATACGGCGGGACTTTTAACTCAACTCGAGGCAGAAAGTAAGTCAAAAAAGACCAGGTGTGGTTGTGTGACGTTAAAGAGCCCCGGAAGGTGGTAATAGCTGACTCAGCTTAAAATGCTGTATTCTGTGACATCAGATATTACCACTGGAGAGTTGTCACACTATGATTAGAGACCTGGGCCATGCTATGGTACAAGTCACAACACTTTGTCCCTGCTTCAAGAGAATCTGAATGCCATTAGGACAAAATTGTTACAATGAGTAAATAATTCTACTATTGCATGTGCAGGTAGCTTCTGGATCAAGGCTGTCGTATCACTTCACAATTTTGGGCTTCAGTTTGTTAGATTATCATGTGGTTATCTCTTAACTAAGTTAAGAGATAATTCATAAAGATAATTCATATGACTTTGAAATAACTCAGTTCTTTACAAAACTGGGTTTACTAGAGTGCAAGATGATTTTTATGTTGATCAGGTTATTCCATTGCATTGACTACGTCAGAAGACTGTATGTTTCTTGTTGTCCAAATAGCATATTTAGATCTCATGCAGCTCCTATTGACTTCATTTGAATTTTGCAATCATGCAAGTTTTTAGGATCTAAGATATCTTTTTAAAGTGACTGCCTCCCACAAACCCTGGAAAGTCTATCCTAAGAAGAGCAAATAGTAGCCTTAGTATCAATGTGGTGCTATAAATGGTCATAAAAAGTATTCTTTTTGGCTGGTAGCAGCAGTTGGATTTCATTAGTCCATATTAGTTCATTATATTTGTAATGAAAGCCTGATTGTTTTCTTGACCAAGTTAAAACTAGCTCTTTCTGGCATTGCCAGCATCTAGAGCTGCTGGGATATTGCCTTTAATGAACTAAAGGTACTTGGAGGTATAGTAGTTCCTCCTCTATTAGGAAAAACACATTAGTGTTCCTGCGTTTTGCTTCATTACATATCGCTATACCGTTTCCTAGTAGAGATATATTTGCCCTAAAAGATGAGTTATGTACAATTCTTCCCATAGAGCATAAAGAAGATGCTCCAGACAACATATCTAATTAATTGTCCTTACTTCAGGAAGATGTTTGTCACTTTTTTCCTTTCAAACCATCACCTATGCCATCATCATTTTAGTGGGGTGGGAGCAGTTAAATGTCTCTCAGAGCTACTTCTAGAGTACTAATTTACATCACCAGGTAGATAAATCAAAGATTTACCTGATTCTTATGTGAAAGGCTATTCAAGAATACTCAAAACAGTTAGATGACTCCTTTAATACTTTTAAGATACTCTCAAATGTTTGAAGTTATTTTTTACTGTAAACAGTAATGCTGAAAACGTGCATCTTAATTCATTCATCTTAAAATTAACAAATGCCTTCATCTTCATGTATTCTTGGGAGAGAGCAATACCAGTAACTTCCCAAAATGTTTATTTCCCATAAAGGCCCACTCAGTTTTGTACTTATATTCATACTGGTTTTCTCAAAGACAGAAGTTTTTCAGACACACAACTAATGCTTCTGTTTTTGAGGCTCCAAAAGAGTTATGACAGAGGAGAATATGGTTAACAAAAATAATTTTACATACAGAGTCTTAGTCTCTCACCTTCAGTTTTGTCACTAGTACCCAGCATTGCTCAGATGTCTCTAAACTTGGACCTGATCTTCGGTCAGAACCCCACATCCTGAAAGCCTCGGCTTCAGATCACAGGCTTCCTGCTAGCTTTGGGGCGTGCTTCGTTTTATTTTCTCACTTTTTTTGGCTTTATTTATATGCACTATCTGTTTGTTTTTAGCTCACTGTCTTCAATGTTTTTCTCTGCTGATCTCTGTTGCCCGTGTATAGTTTGTTGGTTAAAACTCAGCTCTGTCATCAGCACACAGATTGTTTAGTTTACTTTCTGCATTGTTTTCTGGTTCAAATATTAATTAACTAAGTACTTTAAAGAAGTCCTTTGCTCATGTGGATCTTTCATCAGAGAATCTAAGCTTGGGAACTGCACAGTAAAAAGCCATTAGCACCCCTCGTTTGATGTTACTTTTGCAGTCAGTAAAACAAGATTGATGAAATGTTATGTTTGGCCAAAATTTAAGTTTTCATTTGGAATTCGGTGTTGAGAGAATGGGCTGTCAGAACCAATAAGTTTTCCTTTACTTGGGATATGGGCATGTGGTAGTAATTAGCAATATAAGGTCTTTAGTTGAGCAACCAAGCATAGATTCTGGCAGCAAAAATAATGAGAAACTACGGTTGTTCTATTTCTAATGTCAGAAAGTTTCCAGATAAAATTAAATGCATATACAAAATGAAAACAGCTAAATGTTGTTGAAAGATGTTGTTTCAACTCTTAAAATAGCATATGTATGTACTTCTGATTCTTTCTCCAAGATAGATAAATACATAAAGTCCGCTATGTAGCGTTTCTGTATATGTTTATACGTGTGGCCTCAAGGACTGCATCTATGGAATAACATGCTTCTATATGACAATTAAACGTTAAATGGGGAGTTAAAATCAACATATGAGTATGTATGTTTTGAGGATTACACTACCTGACTTTTCTACTAAGGAGAGCCTTGCTAAAGAATTTTAACTATTGAAGCGGCTGGAATGTATGCATAAAAAGTATTTCTACTAACTACACTTATTAAAGAACACCCTCCCCTCTCTCCCATAGTTTTTATTTCACACTTCTTTTTGCTTTTCAGCCAGTAAAGACCCCAAAGGTCTCATAAACTATATAGGAATCATTTTGCACAATAAAGAAACATGCTTCTCTCTTAGATGAGATGTATGCACAGTTTGGAAACAGGAGGAGTTTGCAGGCAGAATGCAATTATTGCTGATTAAATATACTAGGGATAAAATTCCACAGGGTTTTTTTAATTTTTAATTTAATAATTAATCTCTACTTTATAATATATTCTTATAATGATACTTCTTAAGGTCTCATAGAACACAAAGTAGGAAAAGTATGAATGAATGAAGTCTTACCTGCTGAATAAGCAACAGTACTCACTATTGCATATATTGCAAAGTGCATACCAATGTATCTATAAAAAATGACAGGTAAAATAATTACTTTGACGTGATTACAGCCTCCTGCAAAAACTTTTTAAAAATTTTCAAAAAAGGTAATAATGCTTGTCCTGAATTCCAGATTTGTAAACACTGAGATCCATTCCATAAGCAAGAAGAATAGTGCTAAACAGCTGTTTTGCCACTGATAACAGATCAGCTCATCAAAATACTCAGTGATGTTTTTACTATTGTGTCCAGGTACACCAGAATCCTGATGATCTGTATACAAGAAAAACTGACTTTCTAAGTTTAGTTATGCTCAGAACAAACAAACAATTATTTCTTTCTATAAACCCTGCTGAGCACAAATGACAAAAGAGGAGGTCAGATTGCAATTACAGAGATAGAAAATAGTTTGATATTTCAAAAAAACTATCTAAAATGTGAGTGAAAAATAAAATTCAGGCATGACAAGTGATGAGAATGGCAAAAATGTTGTTTCCTACTTTGCTAAGAGGTGTCTTAGGATAAAAATAGTGTTACTTCCTTTATTTTCTTCATAGTTTTCTACATAGTTTTTCTGTTCTATCACATGTGCAATTCAGTCACCTACTATTTCTCCTTCCTGAGCATTTCCATTGATGAACTGTAGTACCTGGTTATTATGTTATGGGGAAATGCTTGTTCAAAGTAGATATTACATACAATATTCTCTACTTTTTCTTGTTAGCCAATGTTGTACTGATTTCTGTAGAATCACAGAATCCTTTAGGTTGGAAGGGACCTCTGGAGATCATCTAGTCCAACCTCCCTGCTCAAGCAGGGTCAACTAGAGCAGATTGCCCAGGATCACATCCAGACCGGGTTTTGAATATCTCCAGCGAAGGAGACTCCACTACCTCTCTGGGCAACCTGTTCCAATGCTCTGTCACCCTCACAGGGAAGAAGTTTTTCCTCAGGTTTAGGCGGAACTTCCTGTGGTTCAGTTTCTGCCCGTTGCCTCTTATCCTGTTGCTGGGCACCACGGAGAAGAGATCCCACATGGAGATTTCCCCTCACATGCATCAGTTCTCCGTGGGAAAGCAGTGAAATCAGTAACAGATAGTGAAACCACCCAAGGTGCTGTTCTAATTTAGCAGGAATTAGATTTCAATTAACAATGGTTGTTTGTTTGTTTGTTTGTTTGTTTGACTTTTATTTGGCCTGTCATTTAGACAACCTTCCTTTTTTTCCTAAGGAATAAGATTTTATTTATTTTAAGGCACTTAAGTGAAAGACAAAGGAGTTGCAGCTCCCTTGACTGCAGTAGATATACACCATGAATAGATCTGATCCTAAGCATAAAAGAAAATCAAGTTCAGATACTGCTTTTTATTGATGGTGAAAAGTGAATGAGGAAAATGCTTAGGAAAAGGTCCACCCAAACATAAGAGCCGATAAGCAAGATTACTCTTTTATATGTAGCTTCTCAAGTTCTGTTTAACTGCACAGAAAAAACCTGCACTATTGACAGGTGTACATGAAGTCATAAAAACAGAGAAACCCTATTCTGCTGCCTCAGCCTGAGATCTGTGGAAAATTCAGTGCTAATGCTTCCTGCCTTCTCATAATTGTTTGATTTCTTTCAAGATTTTGCACAGCGTTTTCTTGAGAAGGGATATATTCATACACCAATGTAGACACAGTGCAATTCAAATTGTTTTGTTTTGAGGAAGTTTGTCTGTGGTCAACTTAATTCAAAGGGATTTTGCTGCAATAAAAATGCAGATAATTTCAGTACCTCCACAATTTTTCAAAGATATGGGAGCTTGTTTAACCGTGGCATTTAA